GCGGTCTTCTTGGCCTCCTTGACGGCCCTCACCCAGCACCACCGGATGATCGACGTCACCGAATTGACCACAGTGCCATCCCTAGTGGTGCACAGCACACGCAACAACCATTGCGGTGGCACGTGCATACACCGCTGCACACCTGCCCGGGTCACCCACTTACCAGTCGAAGCAGACGCACCGCAGGACAGGCTTGTCGGACACCGCCTCCCTCACATCGTGGCCGACAGCCGCCTTGTCATGACACGGAGTGGGGTGCGGAGAGGGAGGGGCGCGGTCGGTCTGCACTGATGCCGCCGGTCGGAGGCCGAATGGTGCAGTGGCTGGGGAGGGAAAGTGGGGCCGCTGCTGGGTGTCTCGCTCGTAGTAGAGCTGGCCTTCGTGTGTGGGCTGCTGTGACCAACGGGTCTGCCGGATGGCCTCGCCCGTCAATCGCCGAGTGACCAACGGGTCTGCCGGATGGCCTCGCCCGTCAATCGCCCGAGTGACTAAGGCCCACAGGCGGATTGCTTGCATGCGGCCCGGCATCTACAGCGCGGAGACGGCACTCCCGTGGCCTGACACAACCACTCCCACCTGCACACACACACACGTGACAGCCATGAGAGCACAACAAGAGATGAGAGATGACCTCCGCCGTGTATGTGTGTGTGTAGGTCTCGTACCTTCCTCCTCTCAGGCAAGAAGCGGGGAGTCGTAGAGGGATGGATGAGTGAATGGGCGGCGGCTGACTGCAGCCGGCCTGCAGAAAGACAACAGGCAGACAGACAGACAGACGAGGAGCTCAGAGAGGTCGACCACATGTGTCTGTCACGTGTGCACATCTGTGAGTGTTCGCGTGTGTACCTGGATAAACAAACATGGCGGGCGGGCCAGCAAACACACACCACCACACACAGCGGCCTTCCCGCAACCTGAAGCAGCCAGCGGACCAAAGACATCCGTGCATTGCATTGCATGTGTGTGTGTGTGCGCCAAGTGCATGTCCGAACGTACAGCCCCGCCCTGCGTACCGGTCGGTGGAGTGGTGCGTGGAGGGGGGAGGGAAGACGTGCCTATCATTTCCTTTTTGGTATTGCCTTCTTGTGGGCCTCTCTTTTCCCTCTCTCGGCCTTCTTCAGGGGGCCTTTGGCTTTGCTTTCCCTCTCTCTCTTCGTCCCTTCCCTTGTCTGTCGGGCAGCCAGCCACCGAGTAAAAACTGACTAGATGACGTCAGAAATGACAGTAAAAATGACTAAAGAATGCAATGACGCACACAGACAGGCCAGACGATCGAAATCGAGAGGGACAGGCAGGCGAAAACGAAATCCATCGGTCATGCGGACACGTGTGTGTGTGTGAGGGCAGAGCCGTCATCAGCCAGGCCATGAAGGGGGAAAGGGACACACATGCACGCAGCCATCACACAAAGGTTTTCGAAGGGCACCACGGCCAGACAGCCGGCCATGGGCCCCTCCTTTTCTGGTCTTTTTTTTGCGGCGGCCAGACGCACGCAGCAAGCATTATGGTACACGAGGCCCGTCACACAACACACCCACGCCAGCCACACACACACACACCGCCCTCCCACTCACCATAGCTCACCCCTCCCTCAGACACACACAGCCCCGCCCCACAACACGGACGCATAAATGACGGTAAAAAGTGACTAAAAAGTGACACACATGGGGGACGGCAGCGGGCAGGCAGAGGTGGATACATGGATGGATGGATGGATGGACGTGTGGCGCATTACGACGACACCTCTCTCTCTCTCCTCGCTCACACGCACCCACCACACGTGGCGACGCACTCAAACACATCCACATCAATGCACATTGCAATGCATCCACACGGCTTGTCCGGTTGGCAACACACTGATGGGTGGAGGGAGGGATAGGTGGATGGACAAACACACTCGCTACATGTACCATTTCCCATGCAAGCACCAAAAGGGCCGTCTGCTCTCACATCTGTGTAAACACGTGCACCCTCTCTCTCTCGGAAGGCACCACACACAGACACGCACACACAGCCACACTCAGTCAACGGCTTGGCCGTAGGTACACATCACGGCACGGCAGACAGCTGCATGCACCATGCATTCATTACGTTAAAAATTGGGCCCACTCACACACAGACAGATGCACTTCGGTATTTATGGACGGACCAGTGAGTGTATGAACATTACTTACAGACGGCACATGTATCACATCACACCATGCTGGCGAGACTGTACATGCCATAGGCAATGCCCTTACCCCCACATCACACCACACAATAGTGAATTCCCACTAAGGGGGAATTAATTAATCCCGCGCACCGTGCGGGGGCTCTTCCAGGCGTCGCCGCCCATGGCGGGTCCTCCGACGAGACGGCTAGCACCACCTTGAAGGCACATGCGCCGCAGTGAGGGAAGGGGTGGGTGTTGCCTGACTTGCCGTCCTTGAGCGAATCGCTGCTCGCCACTCCTGGGCCGCTGCCCACAACGACACGGGGTATGTACTGGATGGCCAGCAGGTCCAGATGCACCTCGGGGGAGTAGCTCCCAGACGTCACGCCACCCACACCCACCCATGGCCAGCCCCGAGCCGACGCGGGAGGCGTACGAGAGGGGAGGGGAGGAGGCCTGGGGGCTGCTGGCGTCGCTCTACACCCTCACGGATGATGGTCTGGAAGGGCACGTTGGGCTTGTGTTGTGACTGCAGAGGCGGCGTGTCGCTCCATCGGGGTTATCCCCGGCCGCACCATACCCAGAGTGCTGACGGGCCCACACAGATGTCGACGTGGCTGCGCTTGGTGCGCGGGCGCAGGGGCCTTGGCCACGTTGAGACGTCCTTGGGCAGCTGGGGTATGTATCGATTACTCACACGACAACACTGACTGACAGATCAAACAGACACAGGAAGGACACAAGAGCAAGGAAACACTTGTTGGTTTGTATTGCAGGTAGGAGTGCACTTGTCTCTCTCTCTCTCTCTGTCTGCGTGTGTGCTGTGCCGACCTCCTAGCCATTCTGATGGTCTGCTGCTGGGGGGTCGCGCCTAACAACACGCCCCCGCCAGCAGCAGCCCATCAGCGGGCTGCGGTGGGGCAGCAGCAGCCGAAGGGGTTGCGGAGGATCTTGAAGAACCCCCAGCACCCCCAGCTGCCGCCGCAGCAGCCCGTCCCCCCGATGGCGGCCTCCTCCCCCTCGATGATGGTGGTGGTAGCGGCGGCCTTGGTGGGGTGCAGGGCGTCGATGAAGGCCGCCACTGCTGCCTCCACCTCCTCCTCCCTCTCCCTGGCCTTCCGCTCTTCCTGCAGTCGCTTCTGGAGGTCTGCCCGCCACACCTGCGGGTCCAGGTCAACGGTGGCGGCGAGCAGCTCCTTCTGCAGCTCCTGGCCAGCCTCTTGCGACTTCTCGATCCGCCTCTTCACAGCATCGAGCTCCCCCCGCAGCTCGTGCAGCACCTTGCGCAGCTCCTGGAGCTGCGGGTTGGGTGGGATACAGACAGGCAGACAGCAGAGAGGGACAGAGACCGTGAGTGCGACTCGAGTGGTTCTTTCCGCCCGGCTTCGCTATGTGTCGGTCTGTCTGCGCTTTACCAGGCGGCTGAGCTCGCTCATCTACTCCTCCGGCACGACCTGACGTACACGCGACAAACACACAGCAAGAAACACGATCAATGAATGCGGGTGTGTGAGGCTAGTGACGTGGGTGTATCTCAGCTCACCTCGTCCTCGTCGAAACTGTGGGGCAGCGGCTGTAAGAAGGCATGGACAAGACACATCACAGAAACGATAAGTGCACATAATGCAAGGCGATGCTTGCCGGCTGCTACTGCATGCAGCAGGGATTGGTGCATGGGTTGTACCAGCTTGGTGAGGGCTTCATAGGCGACGTTGAGGGCCTTCTGCACCTCAACGTCGCCACCCTTATCGGGATGGTTCTTCTGCAGACAGATGCCATGCCACCAAGGGGATAACAGGTGGATGCAGCTCACGCCTCCGTCAGTGAACGCTGCCTACCATCGACAGCCTCCGATATCGTTTGGTGATTTCGGCCTCCGAGGCGTTGGCAGGCAGGCCCAGTGTGGCGCAGTGCCTGGCTCTCGCTGACATCGTCGCTGGGTGCTTCAACTTTGACTTCAACTTCAACTCTGTGCGACCTCCTCTGCCTGAAAGGGTTTTACGGAAAGCGAGCTTTCCTGTTGGCGAGAGGAGAAGATGGACGACCATTCCCCTGTTGGCCTGTTCCCAATGAGGGGGCGGTGGCTTGTCACTCGTTCGGCCAGCCCGGGACCGCCCTCATTCATACACAACCTCGCTGAGGGGATGCAGCGCACCTTTCGTGGCTGCAGCGGCGAGAGCGCCAGTCGGATGCCGGTTCCTGATGTGGAGGTGAGAAAGGACAGGACGCCGGGCTCGGATTACATTCATCCCTTGATGTGCTGATGTCACGAGTTGCGTGTGTGTGCAGCCTTCTGGATGGGCGTCCATGTTCAGTGCTCGTGTGGCGTCTGCTGAGGAACTACGAAAGCAGGTAGACGAGGGGCAGTCGACACGTCGCCACGTCATCCACTCCCGCCCTCCTGTCTGTGAATCTGCCTGCAGCTTCAGGAGGAGCGCGAGAGGCACGCAAAGGCGGAAGAGGACATGGCAAAGGACATGTAGGGAGGGAGGGAGGGAGGGGAGATGAATCACGAGAATGCCTGCACGGCACCTTCCTGCGTTCCATCTCAGGAAGGCGGCGCTCGAGGAAATGAATGCAGAGGTACTTACATGACATGAGGGGACAGGCACCGGTAGGTACATCAGAGACCTGCTCCCGTCTGCCTTCAGCACGACCAGGAGATCCAGACCAGAAGCCAACCTGCTGAGGAACTACGAAAGCAGGTAGTCGAGGGGCAGTCAAGGCGGTACACACACACGTCGCCACGTCATCCACTCCCGTCTTCCTGTCTGTGAATCTGCTTGCAGCTTCAGGAGGAGCGCGAGAGGCTGACAGACATTTAGGGAGGGAGGGAGAGGGAGGGGGGGAGGGAGGGAGAGGGAGGGAGGGGAGATGAATCACGAGAATGCCTGCACGGCACCTTGTTGCGTTCCCATTTCAGGGAGGCGTTGCTCATTAAGAAGGACACAGAGGTAGGTACTTACATGAGGGGACAGGCACCGTTACATCATAGACCTGTCCCCTTCCTGTCTGCCTTCAGCACAACCAGAAGATCCAGACCATGAGCCAGAAAGCAGACGCCGAAGCTGCGGAAAAAGCGGAGCTGTAGTAAGAGAGAAAGAATGACTGCAGCAGATCTTTATCAGTCATCGTCTGCTCCTTCTCAGACACAAGACGGTCTCGTCCCTCGAGCAGCGTGTGACTGACCAGACAGACGATTTCCTCCCTCGAGCAGCGTGTGACTGACCACGGAGAGTCCGAGTGGAACATGAAGCTCAAGCTCATCCGCTTGTGAGCCTCACCGACACACACACACACACACACACTGCCTGCATCATTGTGAGTGACCACCTTCCATCCACTTGCAGGGAGCGGGAGCTCAGGGAGCAGGAGCTGAAGCAGCAGAAAGGACTCGGCCACAAGCTTCTGCGATGGGGAGGGATGCGGTGCGCGATGGGGAGGGAGGGAGGGAGGGAGGGAGGCATGCTTGACATGTCACCGCTCCCCCACCCCTCCACCGTGTGTGTCAGCGCTCAGTCGGCCGTGTCGGCTACATCCACCCGCACTCGCATGACCAAGGACCCTGAGCAGGTGGTGTTCGTCATTGCCGACCGAGAGGACGGTCCCGTCCATACGTCCGGCCACGTTTACGCCATGCAGCCCGACACAAAGGAAATCCACAAACTCGAAATCGTCGGCAGGGAGAGGGAGGAGGGAATACACCCAGGCAGGCAGGCAGGCAGGGATGTCCGTGTGGTGTGTGTGGCGCAGGGGTCGGTCAAGAGCGGCCAGCCCGGCGCGTCGTTTCGCGAGCCCAAGATGACCGACATAGCGATGGGGCCCGACGGAGGCCTGGTGCTCGGTGTCAACGGCGACGTGTACAGATTTGGTGGGCGGGGCGGGCGGGACACACAGCGACGGACGGTGTGTATGTGTGTCTGTGTGTGGTGCTGTGGTGGTTTCTCGCGTCAGATGCCGCTCTGTCTTCGATTCTCGGTGCTGCACAAACACGTACCATTCCTCACCCTACCATGTGTGTGCCGCCCGGTGTGTGCGTCTTGTCTTCCCTCTGCACTGCAGTGAAGGTGCCCGAGCTGCGCCTCAAGATGATCAAGGTCAAACATGCACTGCACTCAACAAAAGCCCAGACACAGATGGTACCAAAGGCCCTACTTGTGCGTGTGGTGCTCGTCGCGTGTGTCAGATCGCCTGTGGTGACAATCACTGCGCGGCACTGTCGCAATTCGGCGCGTTGTTCCACTGGGGCGCGTACAAGGTGGGCGACCAAACATACCACACACCTCACACACCCCACACACCCCACACCCCCACACACACGAGTGTATGCTGTCATGTCAGTATCTGGCGAGCCAGGGCAAGTCCGGCTTCCGGCGTTCGTGCGTCGTCGTCCAGGGCCTGCCCCCCGACATGTCCGAGCAGAAGCTACTCGAATTCCTCTCGAAGAAGCTCACCAAGGGCGGCTTCTTCTCGACGCTGCGAAGCTGCCAGATCGAGGCACCAGGGTGAGTGAGTGAGTGAATGAGTGGATGGGTGGGTGGCGAAAGACACAAACAACGCTTAGATCGATGGATGGCTGGTTCTCTCTTTCGTTCAGGTCTGCGGAGCTGTGGTTTCAGGATGACTCGGTGTTGAATGACGTGGCCGTCATCCTGGACGGCACCATATACAAGACGCATCAGGGAGTCCCCTTCCCCTTCGACGACGAGGAGGTGAGGTGGCCACCGACACACCGACAGATGGATGGATGGATGGATGGAGCCACACCTCTCTCTGTGCGTGTGTTTCGTGTCTGTGTCTGTGTGTGTCTGTGTGTGTGTGTGGCCAGGAGAACCGTCTGCGGTCGTGGGTGAAGTCCGTTACTGTGCCGTACCAGGACACCCCCTTCATGGGGCTGGCAAGCGTCGCAGGGAAGCCCATTGTCGATCTCGTCGCAGGCCGCAACCACATTGTCATGCGCACCGAGATTGGACTCGTAAGCACCTCACCTCACCGCAATACAAGACGACGCTACACAAGACCCATGTCGCTCCTTCTTGGTGGTCGTTCTTGATGCAGGTCTGTGTGTTGGGCAGTGGCGAGCTGGGCCAGCTGGGCAGGCCCCCGTACACCAGATTGCACGACTGGAACCTCTTCCCAGAAGTATTCGACCTCAACGAAAGTAGCATCCGCTTGTAAGCGGGAGGGAGGCAGGCAGGGAGAGAGGGAGAGAGGGAGAGGGGTATGTGTGTGTGTGTGTGTTTGTGTGTGTGTGTGAAGCATCAAGAATGAGGAGGACGTCCCTGGCAAGATCGTCAAGGTCCACGCGTCACACGACAACACCATTCTGAGCGTCCAGCACGGCGACCAAATCGACAACTATGTGTACACACCGACACATACCGACACACACCACACCCAACGAACCGACACACAGACACACATGGCAGGTGTGGGCCCAACGACGAAGGGCAGGCTGGAGTTGGATACAAGAGCGACATCCTCACGAGATTCACCAAGATGGTGCCACTCGCCGGCGTAGACGTACGTGCAAACACGCTATGCACCCATGTATATGTATGTGTATGTGTGTGGGGGTGCGGTGCAGATTGTTGACGTCACGGGGGACAGTTCCAGCAAGGTCGCGCGAGGGGCTGATGGCTACCTCTACTACTGGGGCAAAGGTGCGTACGCACGGCATGGCACACCAGTGGTGTGGATGTATGTGTGTGTGTGTGTGTGTGTGCGACTGTCCAGGCATTGGCCCTTATGGTGCGTTAGTGACCGAGTTGACGCCCAAGAGGCTGAAGCTCTTGGTGGGGCAACACACCCAAACACACCCACACCCACACCGACACCCACACAAACACGTAGATAGGGCAGACGCATATATACTTCCTTCTGTGGGTGCGGTCCGTGTATCAGGGTGGAGGTGGCGACCAGTTTTGCAGTATTGGTGCCGGTGCTGGCCTCAAGATGGCCACTAACGCCCAGGGAGACCTCTTCGCCTGGTACGCGCGAAAACACACGCACACACGTACGTGCCAGCATCCATCTGATGTGTGTGTGCGGCAGGGGCACTATTGACTACGGCATATATCGCGTCGACAAGCCCAAGGAACTCTCAATAGTCAAGGTACGTACGTACAGACCCCCGTGCCATCGATCCTCTGTGTCACCATCAATCAGGCCGACGCTACAAAGACCGACCTACCTGTGGGTACTGGTGGGACAGGTGCGCTCTCACGGACAGACAGACAGGCAGACAGGCAGACACACACAGACAGCTCTCGGCATGTGCCTGCATCAGGGTCACTGTCGGCCTCTGCTGCCGAGACGCCTCGCCCGTCATCCCGCCCTAACATCACAGGGGTCTTCCGCCGCCTCCGCAGCATGACGCGAGCCTCGACCAGCAGCAGTTCGGCCACCATCGAGCAGCTCCCATGACTGTCGACTACATTACATGGCATTCCATTGCATACATCACACGACTGGGTGGGTGGGTTGGGAATAGGTAGATAAGAGGGTGACGACATGGGCTGAGTATGCAATCGGACGGTGGGAGGGAGGGAGGGAGGGAGGGCGGGATGGACTGGCCAGCCGGGAGTGTGGGTGTGAGTAGTTGGTGGATTGACCCGTGTACAGGCAGACTCTGGCTGGCTGGTTGGTTGACAGGAATGCGTGACTGTGTGTGTGTGCGTGTGTGTGTGGGTTGACGTCGGTGCAGACTCTCGCACCTGTCCTTCTGGGTGAAGATATGATAGTCTCCTTCTACGGCTGGTCAACACATCCATCCATCCATCCATTCATTCTCTAATGAGTCACGGATCGGAAGCAAACACTCAAATATAGTGGATGGATGGATACCAAACATACAAAACCCGTACGTACACGGTGTCTGCGCCTCAACATAACGGTATCTCTGTGTGCGCATGCTGGATACGTACATACACAGCTGTATATCGACATACACACACACACACACACGCGCGTCATTCCTCAGTCCGAGGTAGCAAGGTAGACGCCGCTTACGAACCTGAAACCGCACAGACAGAGAGGAAGAGACAGCTGTTGATGCCAGCCAACCAACCAACCAACCAATCAGTGCCAACACACGGAGCTCGCTCACTTACGCCTTGACGACGTCCACTTTCGGCCCACCCTTGAGGAATGGCAGGCCCTGGGCACACGCAGACAGGCATGGATGGATGGATGGACGGGTCGGGTGTACGTGTACGTGTACCAGCAACTGGTCTGCAGAGAGGCGCATGTGCGGTTCCGTCTGCACACTGCAAACAAGACACCACGCGAGAACACGGCTAGCGTCTCCGTTGCCGCCACGTGTGTACATACCATGCGTCGATGACGTCCCGCAGGTCGGCGTCGAAGGTCTCGTCCAACCGGGCTGGAGGCTCTGATCATCGAGTACGCATGCATTGAATGTCTGCTGGCGTGGGTGCACTGCACCCGACTTTCTGGTCTGCATACCTTCGCTGCCGAGCGACGCCTCGCGCACCTCCACGACGCTGCTCTGAGGCGGAATGGCCGGCTCCTGACAGACACGCAAACAGCACCCCAATAACCAGCCGCTCGCTTTGTCTGAGTGTGTGTTGGTGCGGCACGTACCAGCTTGACCAACTCATACAGGACCAGCCCGATCGACCATATGTTAGCCGACATGCCGTACTTCCGCCCAAGCACTCTCTCAGGGCTCCTGCGGCACACACACACACACACACACATACATCAACCACCACCACCACCACCACCAGCAGCACGTTCGTCACGTACATGTAGACTTTTGTGCCAACGAAGGTGTGGTCCATCGAGCTGACGCTCTTGGCGATGCCGAAGTCGGTGATCTTGACATATCCTGCAGTGCAGTGCAAAACATGCGGGTGGGCTCGTACGTCATGGGTTGGCTCTATGTGGCTCGGTTACCGTCCGAGTTGATGAGTATGTTGCCGGGCTTGATATCCCTGTGTATGATGCCTTTGTTGTGCAGATGCCGCAGGCCAGACACCATCTGCACACACACACCAATGCACACGTGCGTTGGTTGTGTGTTGGTGTATGGATGCATTGTGTGTTGGGTGGGCACCTGGTAGGCCATTCCCTCCAGCACTTCCTTGGGTATGCTCTTGTTCTCCTCTCGGCACCGCTTGATGAGATCGGCCAGGCTGCCACGATTCATGTGCTCCATCACCAACCGCACCGTCGTCGCTGAGTGAAACACACACACACACACGCACACGCACACACGCACACACGCACACACTCACACATACAAAGGACGTATTGCGTGCCGTTCCTGCCTGGCTACCTCCGTGTTGATAGGCGCTAATGAAGCCCACCAGATACTGCCCGCCCTTGGCACGGGCAAACCCCTGATGCGATACATTCACACCCACATACACTCACTCACATGAAGGCACTCAGCCCCGCCCCGCCCCGCCTACCGACCGTCAGATCTGACAGCAGCTGGTCGCGCTTTGCCTTGTCCTCTATCTTCATCTCCTGGACACACGGAAAGCCATCCATCCATCCACCCGTGCAGACAGGCAGGTGACTGGTCTTCTGTCGAGGTGTCGAAGACGGACCTTCACCGCGAGAAATTTGCCGGTGGGCTTGTGGCGGGCCTTGAACACCGTGCCGGAGACGCCGCGGCCGATGACGTCGTCCTCGCCAATCTGAAAGGCGGACGGAAGAGAACACAAGAGCGTATGGATGAACACGACTAGGCAAAAGGTGCTCACCTCTAGGTCATCTGGTGTGAAGGCGAACTCCTCTCCGTCGACTTGAGTGCCATCCCTGCCCACAGAGATGCCGGAAGCGTGCTGCATCCCGCCTCGCCCATCACTGACATCATCGACTCACAGCACAGTCAGGTCAGGTGACAGATCTTCATCCCTTCTTCCCATGCAGCGTATCTTACCCCCTCCACGACGGCACTACCGGGGCATTGTGCGCCTCTGAGCTGCCAGATTCGATGGGCTGGGGTCTCAGCTTCCTGACTCGAGTCCCAGGGCTCGCCGCCTCGCTCATCGCTGCTCAAAGAACGATTCTCCTCACCGATTCATCATCCTCACCGACGAAAGGCGCAAAAAACATGCGCCGGATTTCGCAGTATAGTATCTATTTTTTCTTTTTATTCGCTTTCACAGAAGCACTAAAATATTTGCGAGAATTTTGAGACGGAGACGGCAAAGAGTCCGCGTGCCCTCTCTTACCGCACTCGCCACTGTCCCACACAAAGCTCTCTGCCCACCGCCGCTCAGCACACACAGCCGTGCACAAGATATCCACACGTCTGTGAGCGTCGTCCCTCTCGACAGCCTGCCCGCCTTCCGCCAAGAAAAAAGAGATAAATTGGCAGTGCAGCGCAGCGCAGCGCAGCGCAGCCAGCGAAGGAGACCGTCAAGGAGGAGAGCCCACCGCTGACACAGACACGGCGATTCAGACACGGCGCGGGAAGCGTGTCACAGCTTTCACGAGAAGAGGAAGAAGAAACGATGTCGTCGATGGAGGAGCACTACACATTGTTCGGGCTGGAGCCCAGTGCGTCCAACGATGAAGTCCGTCGCCGCTACTTCAAGTTGTCTCGGGTAAAAGGATGCACTGCAGTGCACTGCAGCCATGGAAATGGGGAGGAAAGAGAGACTAGGCTGCTTTGACTAAGCTGGTGGCCATGCGCTCACTCATTGTGCTGACCGTGTGCTGTGTGGGTGCGCAGGAGAACCACCCAGACAAGGGCGGCAGCACGGAGAAACAGAAGGAGATCAACAACCACTACGCGGCCATCATGAAGGGGGCATGGAGTGGATGAGCAGGAGTTGCAATGGGAGAAGTTTGACGAGGTGGTGAGCAGATTCACTGGCCGCACCCAGCACAAAGCCAGCACACACACTCGACGATGCCCTGCATGCGGCGCATGGATGCTTGTTGTTGCATTGTTGACCCACAGATGGCGAGGCTGATGGCAAAGGAGGGGGAGTCCAATCTGGAGGCCTTCATCAAAGCCTCGAACGAGGAGATCAAAGCCTCGCGCGAGGAGGCGCACCTGACTCTGGCCTACCTGGTCATCGAGGGGGCTGAGGTGCAGGAGGCCATCGACGCCTACGCCGACCTCATCCTGCCGACAGAGGTGAAGAAGATGCTCACTTGGTTGAGAGGTTTGAGAAACTGCCCGCCCTCCTTTGCCCATGTTGGGATTCAGCAGCAGCGGCGGCGGCGATGCCAGGGTGAGGGAGGAGCTCGAAAAGCAGAGGAAAACCATGCAGGCCAAGGTACCAGATACAGGGAGGGATCTAGAGGCCGTGAGCATCACGCCTGGCAAATACTTGCATGTTCGTGGCTGCCTGTATCTATCGTATGTGTGGCTGCAGTTCAATGAGGAGCACGAGGCCCAATCCAGGGTGTGTGATGTGCATGGGGAGAAAGACGGACGAGAGGGAGAGAGGCGAATTGAATGCCCATTGGTTTCTCTCTGCTCAGGGTACTAGAGAAGGAGGCGGCAGAGCACGACAAGGCAGCGGCCAAGAAGGACATAGAGGCGGAGGTAGGAGGGAGGGAGAAAAGGAGAGGGGGAGGAAGGCGACAGCCAGACGTCCGCTGCCTGTCTGCTGGGGTTGAGAAAAGGCGAAGGAAAGATGGACGAGTTTGACGAGGTTAGTAGAGCAGAGCACTGCGCAACCCTCGGCCTGCCTGAGGACGCGTCGACGGCGGAAATCACCAGAAAGTATCGGCAGCTCTCGAAGGTAGGCACTATCTCTGACGAAGAGGATCGCCCCATCCGTCCATCTGTCGTCTGCATGATGCAGGTGAACCATCCCGATAAAGGCGGTGACCCTGAAGTGCAAAAGCGCTTCGACATCGCGTAC